CCCGCTCCCCAGGAGGCTAAGGCAGGAGGATTGCCTGAGCTATGAAGCTTTCAGGGCTAGTCTGGGCCACACGGCAAACTCAAAAATAGTACAAATAAATACATTTCGGAAGCAAATAAAGATACTAAGCAGGACTCACTACACATCATTTGGAGATCTGCTTGACACTGGACTTGTAGGACACATTAGAAACTTCACCTCTCCGTCCAGCCCAATCTCATGTCCACCAACAAGCCGAAAAGAGAGGGGAAATGTCCCCCAAGTTAGCAGCAAGAGAAAAACAAGCGAGCCAGCCTACGGCTCAGCTGCCTTCACGGCTGGGCTGCCTGCCTACATAACCAAACAAAACACGCTCATTCAAAGCTAATTTATCTTTAAGCAGACACTGTGGCAGAGAGAGGAAGTGACTTACTCTGGGGTGGCACTTGAGGGCCTGGACAGCTGCTCCAATCTCCTGGATCCAGCTGTGCATGTCTTCAGGGCTGTCCGCCTGCAAAACATCCACAACACTTAGACATATTTTTGGGGTGTGACCTCAGTTTCCAAGTCCCTGGCTCAAGTTCATAAAATCACACCATTCCAGTTCAGCAGGACCTTGGAAACCACGTAGTAGTCCAGTGCCTTGCAGACTTTTGAGGACGTTTCCCCCCCACCCCCCACCCCCGCCATCTCTCTCTTGACGTACCATAACTAAAGTCACTCAAAGTGAAGCTTCCCTGAAGAGAGAGGGGGTGTCCTGTTTTCTGTCTAAACCTACCACCCCACTTTTGCCCCATCTGAAAAACAGCTGAGCCAATCCAGACTCCTAGTTTTTACCCCCGAAGGAAAATGAGGTTCAGAACACCACAGCCCCAGGTCTGAGGCTCGTCTAGACCCCCCCCTCTCTCCTCATCTCTCCCATAATTATCTGAATGGAAGACTCCGCTCTAAATTCCTCTAAAGCAAACTCCCTCTCTCTCCAAGGTATACACGACCATATGTGTTGTCAGCGGAAACAGCACCTTCCGGGAAGCACAAGCTACTTGGAGCTGTCTGAAAATTCCCCGCCAGCCTTGGAGTGAGCGCTAAGCCGAAGGGCACACTAGCAGACCTGAGTGAAGCATTTCCCCTATGAACAACCTCCTCACCCCAGAAGGGGGCAGCAGCCTCTCTACGGAAAGAGAAGGAGGAGGCCCGGCCCTGCAGGCAGAGCCTCTGGGCGCCCCCCCAGCAGCTGGAAGGAAGAGTGCAAGTGAACAGAGTTGCAGAGGGCCCTGCACAATAGAGTTAGAAAAAAGATTTAAGTTTCGCTGTCCCAGCACCTTCCCCTAGCCGTCCACCCCAACACAGAACGTGTGTGTGTGTGTGTGTGTGTGTGTGTGTGTGTGTGTGTGCACGCTGTGGAGGCAAGTGTGCAACAGCACCCAGCTCCCAAGAGCTCTGCCTGCTCCCCTTGCTTTTCCATACCCCAAAACCACTCTGAATTCTACCAGGATAAAACAGGACCGCTTTGCTTTTCATGGGGTTTTGCGTTTCTTGTTTTCTCCCAAACTTGCGTTACTGTCCCCCCCATCACCCCCAAACAGAGTCCCTTGGTTAGCACACACCAACAAAAGCACCAGATCAAAGAGAAGGGCAAAGGCCCGTGGTACACACTTCTCACACCTGCTCCCTGCTAACTTATTTATACTTGCCTCTCCCCATGATTCTGTCTGGCTACTTGGCAGCCTAGCAGCTTTCCAAGAAAAAGACAAATACGTCCCTGGTCCAAAGAGAGCAGCCAGAATTAGGTATGGAAACTTTTCCTAAGATCATGATGAGAGAGAGCCTGTTCCCTAGACAGACCTACAAGGGAGGACTAAGTAAGTTGTGAGGTTCCCCTGTTTGACTAGCACCTAGACCACAGGGCTCTCTGTGTATTAGTAATGATCGCTATTTTTATTATCCTCTGGTAAGAGGGAAGCAAATAAACCTGAAATTCTACCAGCATGGCCCAGCATGGTGACACACGCCTTTAATCTCAGCACTCAGGAGGCAGAGACAGGTGGATCTCTTCGAGTTCTAGACCAGCCTCATCTACATAGGGATTTCCAGGCTAGCCAGGGTTATGCAGTGAGACCATTTCCAAACAACAAAACACAGCGCATTTCACTGGTACGGATTTATTCAATGCCCTCATCCTGAGATACTTTTCTTCGATTACATATATATCCACCCCCAAAGGATCAAAGAATCAAAGGCTGGGCTGGATCTCAGCGGCAGATCACTTGCCTAACACATGCAAAGCTCTGGGTTCTAGAACCAGTAACAAGCCAAATTTTAAAAAGGAACAAACAGAATAACATATTTGGTGGAGAAAAGGTTATTATGAATTTAACCCCCCCCCAAAAAAGCAGATATTGCAACTGATGCCATATGAAATGAAAGTATATTTTATAAAGTATCTTCAGTAGTTTTAACCACTATTTTATATTTCTATTTCAAAGTTATTTTTAAGGGGGGATGAGGAAATGCTCAGTAGGTAAGAGAGTAGCCGTGCAAGCAAGAGAATATGAGTTTGAATCTCCAGGCACCAAATAAAAGCTGAGCACCTGTACATGCCTGTAATGCTGGTGTTGGGGGAGGGGGCAGACAAGTGGATTCTGGGGTCTCACTAGCCAGCCAGCCTAGGTGAAATGCCAAATTCCAGGTTCAGTGAGAAACTCAAAATTGAGAGCCTGGAGAGATAACTCAGCAGTTAAAAGCATTGGCTGTTTTGCTAGAAGACCCAGATTTGATTCTCAGTACCCACACAATGGCTCCAGTTCCACTAGATCCAATGCCCTCTTCTAGTCACTATGGGCATCAGACATGCACGTGGTACACAGGCAGATGTGCATGCGAAACACCCATACGTAACAAATAAAATGATTAAAAAATAAAATAGAAATCAATAGAGAAAGACACTGACATCCTCCTCTGGCCTCTGCATATAGATCGCAGGCATGTGCCCCACATAAACATGAACACATACAACACACATATACCATCATTTTTCAATGTTATTCAAATAGAAAAGTATTGCACTTGATCCCACACAAGAAAGAATATTATTTCAGAGCTGAGTCCATCCAGTCCAGATGACCTAAAGGTGCCCAACCCTGGGCAGATGGAAAGGGAGATGCCACATGCACCTTCTTCTCCCCCTGCCCTGCTCTTGTGTGCATTATGGTTTCTATCCTTGACGGCAGTTTATAAGGAGAGGAATAGACTTCTGAAATGAGTTCCTTCAACCAGTGGTCCAGTGACCTTCTGAGCATCAGTTCTGAGTCCAGCACTGAAGGATGCAGTGAGTGATGGCAGACAGCAATAAGAGACATGCAGTATCTACCTCTGGTTACCCCTGTTATTCCCTAAAACTCCAGCAGGTCCTTCTTCCTTTCCCAATGAACCAATCCTATCTTTAGATACAGCCCCATAATGGATGATTGTATAAATTATGCAGTATATAGTTCTAGGGCAGTGGTTCTCAACCTTCCTAATGCTGTGATTCTTTAATACAGTTTATTTTGTTGGGGTGATCCCCAACCATAAAATTATTTTTATTGCTACTTCATAACTATAATTTTGCTACTGTTACGAATCATAATGTAAATATCTGATATTTCCGATGGTCTTAGGCGACCCCTGTGAAGGGTCATTTGACTCCCTTGATTCCCCCCCCCCTCCCAACGTGTCATGACCCACAGGTTGGGAACCACTGTTCAGGTGGTACCCTTCCCCTTAGACTCTAAGTTCTGACTCCGCCCTCTGGAACTCCCTCGTCACTCTTTTTATCTGTACGGGTGTCCTGGCACAGCAGCCTGGTTCTGACGAGGGAGCTCAAGACCATTTCATCAGTTCGCATTTCTAGGAACAAACACTCCTGTTGATAAACTGCCAAAGCCCCAGGCCCTCTGTGCCTGGGAAACGCAGAAATGGAGACCCCCTGCTCTGTATTTCAAGGATGGGAAGTTGGATTATGTTTGGGGAGTTGCTGGAGACTGACAGCAGAACTTTCCACATTCCAGGCAAGTGCTAAACCACTGAGCGGCATCCCAGCTCTGAAGTCTCATCTTGAACGCTTGCCCAGAACTGAGAAATGTCTATCTACTGACAAGACTGGTTCAGTACTGTTTCCACCCATCTTGAAGCCTGATTACTAACTACCTGGACTTGGTCATCGTGATCCATCTTCCAACATTCTCGGTCACCCCAGGTTGGTCAAAGGTAGATTTTTCTAGTTGTGAGTATATCCTCTACATAGTGGTTCTCAACCTGTGGGTCATGACCCCCTCAGAGTCGCATATCTGATATCCTGCATATCAGATATTTACATCACAATTCATAACTGTAGCAAAATTACAGTTATGAAATAGTTTTATGATTGGGGATGACCACAACATGAGGAACTCTATTAAAGAGCCACAGTGTTAGGAAGGTTGAGAACCCCTGCTCTACAGTATATCCTCTAGGTCTGGCCACTCTGAGCGCAAGCAAGTCTTGAATACCAAGTCCCTCTCAACTGGTTCCATAACTCACTGAGTTTCTGATCCTAAGTGGATCATTTCCCCTTGAAGCACCTGTCTCCTCGTGGACAGATTGGAGATGAGACACAGATAGATTATGGAGAATTAAGTGATACACTTCCGGCTAGCTGCTGCTCAGCAGGGTCCCCTGCAACAACAGCTGCTTTTCTTTTTTTGTTTTTTCCAGACAGGGTTTCTCCTTGTAGTTTTGGTGCCTGTCCTGGATCTCGCTCTGTAGAACAGCTTGGCCTCGAACTCACAGAGGTCTGCCTGGCTCTGCCTCCGGTATGCACCACTGCCACCCGGCAACAGCTGCTTTTCATGAATTGCAAAGAGTGCTACAGTGTGAGACCACAGAGTGCAGGTGGTGTATCTAAAGCCAAAACCTCTAATATCCAAGTGATGGGAACCCAGGCCTGGTCCCGCTCTGACCAAAAAGCTCTTTTCTCTGCCTCACCCTGTTTGCTGGTCTCACTCTCCTAGATCCTGCGAATGGACAGAAGGTTCATGCAGACATACTACACACGCACAATTGAGGACCAGGTCAGAAAGTCACTCGAGTACAGTGCGTCAAACCTCTGGGTCTGCAGAACAAACTCCAAGGACAGAGTTCTCCTACCTTTCACATGAAGTGTGGTTCTTTTTATTTAAAACAAGAGACTGACATAGACACCGTGAGTCCAATTTACTCAGAGGCATGTATTTTGCAGACTTCATATAAAAAAAGAAGTCAGTGATGCCAAAGAAATATCATTGTTTCTTTTTGCCACCAACCAATATTACAGCCAAACAGAATTTCAGAAAACTCCCCTCTAATTGCATGAGCTCAACATCCTTCCATATTCAAAGATTTCGCTAATGCTATCAATAAATGTGACTTTTAAAATGTTACATAGTAACACATGTCAACATCTTGAGGACCTTCACTGCTTGGTGAGAGCAGTATTTTCCAAATGATGAGCCCAAACTATGGGTAAAAAAGTATCTACTCAAATGGTGACCAGTGGATCTCAGCTAGGCGTATGCAAATGTATTGAGATAAGGTTCCAGACTACACTGCACCTAATATTAAGAAATTAAAATTTTTCCCAAGTTCTGGTAAGAAGCAAAAAAGAAATATCTGAAATTATCTTAAAGGATAATATTGAAATAACCCTTTTGTTCCAAATACTTATTTGTATAAGGCCAGATTTTCAAATTCTTCAAGGTAATATGTGGATACAGACAGTGTGCTGAAGTACGAATGAAATTTCTGTTGTCTTCTGTGGTGGTATTGTGTTCCCCAAAATATTGTGCACCCTAATAAATTTATCTGGGGTCAGAAAAAGAATAGTCACTAGATACAAAGGCTAGAAAATGGTGGCACTCACACCTTTAAACCTAGCACTCCAGAGGCAGAAATCCCTCTGGAGTTCAAGTTCAAGGCCACATTGGAAATGGCCAGGCATGGTGATACATGCCTTTAATCCCAGAAAGTGAGCCTTTAATCCCAGGGAGTGGTGGTAGAAAGCAGAAAGGTATGTAAGGCGTGAGGACCAGAAACTAGAAGCATTTGGCTGGTTAAGCTTTCAGGCTTCTAGCAGCACAGTTCAGCTGAGAGCCATTCTGGATGAAGACACAGAGGCTTCCAGTCTGAGGAAACAAGACCAGCTGAGAAGTTGGCCAGGTGAGGTTAGCTGTGGCTTTTTCTATCTCTCTGATCTTCCAGTGTACACCCCAATACTTGGCCTCAAGTTTGACCTTATTAATAAGAACCGTTTAAGATTCCTGCTACAGTCTTCTATGAGCCAACCATGAAAGAGGTGCACAGAGTAGAAAATAATCCTACTCTGGATATTTTTAGAAGAATAGTAATTTTCACAAGATATTTTCTTAATTTTTCATGAGTTTAGAGTTGTAACTTCTAAGTGAATCAATAAATATGTTTACTGGTTTTTCATCCATTCTTCTCAGACACTCCATTCTCTTAAAGCCATATGCTACACTTGAATTTGACCTTCACTCATTTATGTATTCAGAGTGATGCTAGTGTCCTTCCTTCCTTAGAAATTTGGAGAGCAAAAGGGAAGGAGCAGGGAAATGGTAAGAACTCTGGGGAATGCTGGCCCCTGCTAGACGATGCAATGTCTTCTGAACGTTTTCGGTTGAGCCTCCTGTGTCCCAAATTGCTACCCGTAGTGCGGGACTTTCAGAGCATCATTCACTGGACAGCAAGTACTTAGTCACCAACAGGCCAAGCATCATCTAGGCAATGCTCATCACGAAGTGTACGCTTCGATGTTCCACAGACACGGTCAACTCAATGCTTACCCCTGTGTCATGGTCTGAATGAGGAATGTCCCCCACAGGCTCATGCATTTGAACATTTGGTCCCTAGTCTATCTGGTCCCCAGTTGGTGGCGCTGTTTGGGGAGGTTATAGAACCTTTAGGAGGTGGAGCCTTGAAGAGGAAGGCCTTTCCCCTGCTTTTTCTGCTTCCTGCTTCTGCTATCATGGCATGTCTTTCCTGCCACTGAAGGAACCATAAACTAAATTGACCCCTTCCTTCCTTGTTGCTCTTGGTCACTGTATTTTATGACAGTAACAGAAAAGCAAGCAATACGCCTGTCTAGTGCTAGCCCCGGTCGGTCTTCCTCACAACTGCTTGCCCTCTGTACTACCAGGGAAGATGGCAGGTGCCGTCAACCAGTGCAAACCTTGGACCAGACTCCTAGGATTCATCTTCATCTCTCCTCTTCCCCGGTCACACAGCCAACTCTCCAGTCCTGGAGAGTGGACCTCTTCTGCACCTCTGAAAGCCATCCCTTTCCCTCGTCCATCTAAGTCCATCCCCCAAACCCTATCAGGCCTTCAGACTGGCCTGTTTAATCCCGCATTGCCCTTTTCTTATCTGCCCTTCATGATACCTGGGGACAAGCAGTCTCCAGGGTCATCAGAAGGGCTGGGCTTGAGTTTTTCATCTCCCTTTTACACATGTGGAAAATGAGACTCCGAGTCCAGGAGCTGTTTCTTATTGCTCTCATCTTACCTTTGACTCTAAGGAGCAAATATAAGCTTGCTAACAAAGCAGACCAGGCAAAGAGACTCTCTGCCAATAGCTGCACAGCCTACCTCACAGCTCTCTACTCCCCTTCCCCAGGCGCCTGGCCCCCTCTCCCCATGAGCCCTCTGGTCACCATCTTCGTTGGGAAAAACCTTTCCTGCCTCTGTCTCCCAAATGGACAACAGCAGACAGTTACCATCTAATGACGGTTCCAGAAGTCACAGTTTTCTGGAGGAGTGACTTTGGTTTTGTTTTTTAATTCCCTCGTCCCCTTCAGGTGGCTTGTTCTGTGCTGGCGGTAGGCATGTTTGGATTCTTCACCTTCTGCCACTCATGAGGGGATTCCCTGATCTCCTTGATGGTATTTCAACTTGCAAATGCTAAGGGCTAGTCTTTGGTGAAGTTCTAGGCCAGCTCTCCACCATCATAAGCATTATACAGCATAACTGAAATCATCCCACAGATTGCCCTGTGCATCATCTACCAAACATGTGATTTTGGCTGCTTGATTACTTAAAGATCAGGTCCTTCTAATCCGTGACCCCAACCTCAGACCATGCCCAGATCCTTGACCACACTCTACAGATATCAACTCAAGAACCAGAAACTTGTGTTAAAGCACAGGCTAGTCCTTATATCAGAAGGGCAGAGGCACTGGAGAATAACAAGATTTAAGAGCCAAGTGACCCCCCTCCATGACCCAGTCTGCTTCCCGGCCTCCCCTCAGCCATCTCTTCCTGGGCAGTGTGCTCGTCCCACCCAGGGAGGACGGCCTGAAGATGCCAAAGTCAGCCAGCGTGACTGCTGGCCTGACGTGGAAAACGAATAGAGACACAAGACCTATTGCTCAAAAACTGGGAAATCGGCCTCATCCTTTATGGGAGGGATTCGGTGGGGAAAAAAGAAGAAAGGAAGAGGGAAGCCTCCCAAACTCGACTTGGGAAGGCTGCATATTTCACTGCTCAGAATCCCACATCAGCCTCTCGCTGGGGATCAGCACATTCTGTGGGCTGCTGGGTAGCCTAGGCTGAGGACTTGGCCCTGGGTGTCTTCGCCCTGCTTAGAAATCTGCCCTGCTGGCTGCTGTGACTTCATACTGGATTGGGAGCGCTCCAGATCTGGGGGTGGGGGAGCCCAAACAATGGCTTTCTCTGTGCAGCTGGCTACGCACCTGTGCCCGCACAGGGCCCTCTGTGCTTCTGTCTTTCTGCACACAGTAATGTCCATACATAGGCAGGACTTATAAATACCCTCCAGAGCAGAAGTGAAACCACCCACCAGTTCCCCTTTTCTCCGCTTAGCTGGAGCTCGGCAGCCGAGTGCAGCTGCCGTGGGCACAGTTGATGGACCGGTTTGTGGGATCCCAGGGTAGGGAAACGTCTGGCTAGCCTCCTCCTCCTGAGAATGAAGTGGGACCCCGACTGACCAAGGGACTAAACTGATCCCTGAGGAACTACAAGCTGCTAGACAAGAGAAAACAAGGGCAGGGGTGGGTGGGGGTGGCGTCCACCCACGTTCGCAGGGATGGAACGCCGGTCTGGGGGTGAGCGTTTACCTGCACGTAGAATGTCCTGGAGTTGGTTATGATTTCAAACAGGTTGTCCCTCATTAAGAGATCGCTAGGCAGGGAAAGAGAGAGAACATTATACCAGACATTGTGAGCGTTTTATTTTACACATCATTTCCTACAGTTTTCAAAATCACCCACCAATGCAACTCAAGACTTTCTCCTCTGTGTGGGTGAGAAAGCCCAGGCTCAGAGACTTCATGTGCTATGTCTGTCCAAGGTACTAGAGATCAGCACCCATTGAGTCCAAACGTGCCTCTTGTAAGGGTGCTAACGCCATTTCTAAACCCGTCCTTCCCCCCCCCCCTCCCGGCAGCAGCAGCTCCACCCACACACAGCTCTGAGTTCCTGCTCCCGGCCTCACTGCACTGTCCCAGGGGACAAGTAGCTAAAGGGAGAAACAGAAATCAAGAGTAAACGACTTGAAGATGTGCTTCCCAGGAAACGGTTCGACCTCCTTAGCCAGCAGAGAAATGCAAATTCAACGCATTTTGAGATTTCGTCTCACCCCAGTCAGAATGACCCACAGCAGGAAGATGAATGCTGGCAAAGATATGGGAAAAGATGAACTCTGACTTACTAATGGGGTGAGTGTAAACTGGTCTGGAAATCAGTCTGGAGGTTCCTCAAGAAACTAAAACTAAAACGACCACATGGCCCATCTACACTACTCCTGACATGTGCCAGGAAGACTCCACTACTGTGGGGATACCTGCACACCCCTGGCAAGTACTGTGTTCCTCACAATATCATGGGAATGGTCTCAACCTTGATGTCCGTCAGGAGAAGGATGGTACACAGACATAATGGAATTCATTTGGTTGTAAAGAAAAATAAAGGGGCTGGATAGAAGGCCCAATAGTTAAGAGCACCCCCTGCTCCAGCAGAGGACCTGGGTTCAGTTCAGAGCACCCACATCGGGAGGGTCACAGCCACGGGAGACTCCAGTTCCAGGGGATCTGACACTCTCTTCTGGCCTCCTCAGGTCCCTGCACTTACGTGGCACACACTCACACAGATAGTCTGTATCCACATAAATAAAAAATAAATAAATAAAAATAATTTTAAAAAGAAAAATAAAATCATGGAATTTGCAGAAAAATAGGTGGAACTGGAAAGTATTATATTAAGCCAAGTCACTCAGACTGAGAAAGACTGATACGGTGCATTTTCTGTCACAGCTGGATCCTAGACTTTAATTCTTATGCATGTGTAAATTCACATGTGAGGGTGAATAACACGCCATGAAACTAAGAAAGAACCATGAAGGCCGGCAAGATGGCTGGCTCAGCAGGAAAGGAACTTGCCACCTCCCCCCCACCCCCCCAACCCCGAGTCTGACGCAGCAGAAGGAGAGAATCACCTCCTACAGGTAACCTTTTGACCTCCACGTGTACATGTATGTGCACGTGTACACACACATATACACCAACAAGCAAATAATATGCAAAAAAATTTAAGCAAGGGGCGGGACCATGAAGATGGAAACAAAGAGGCTGTGAGGGGGGGCATGCAGAGTGGGGATGACCGTGGGGCAGAGGACCACCATGGAGCGTGGGAGGAGACGAGGGTGGGGACAGGGGACAACAAAAACAATAATGTGTACAAAAATGGCACGTCGAGACCTATTCCTTTGTACGCTTGTATAAAATCAATTTAAAAATTAGTTTCCTTCATTGGGGGAAAAAGAAAAAAGATCTGCTTCTGGGGATAAGGTGTAGCTTTTAGTGGTGGTGCAGCTCAACACCAAACAAATGATAATAGGCTGAGAGAGAGAGAGGAGAGAGAGAGAGAGAGAGAGAGAGAGAGAGAGAGAGAGAGAGAGAGAAGAGGGACAGAGAGAACATGGACTTGATGGAGATCAGGGAGGGAAATGTGGACAGGTTTGGAAGAATAAATGGAAGGGAGAAATGTTGTCATCGAACTGCACTCTCAAAAAGATCAACAAGCCCCACACGCACGCACGCGGTGTGCGTGTTGGAAGAGGGACCCCGACTCCCGCCAAGCAGAGGGCAAGAAGGAAGCGGTGAGGACGCAAACCCGGACTGGCTGGAACCGTTTTTTTCTCTGTTCACTGACCGCTGTGTGCATCCAGTCCCTGTGGAGACTGTCTGAGGAGTAAAGACCTAATGGCTACCAGGAAAAAGCACCTGAGGAGGCGAGACCAGATGCAGGTAAGACTGCATTCCATGTTAACAAAGAGCCTCGTGCCAGGGAAGGGCTGGTCACAGGCCGAAATGTCTTCTAGAAGGAAAACACAGAAGTGACATGGCCCGTGACAAGCAGAGGGGGGGTATGACTTAAGACTAGGTAGGACACGGAGACCTAGCCCGAACACTGGTGAAAGAAAAAGTCTCTGGGACATGTACTATAAATGTGGTCAGCCCTTGAGTGTGAGATGAAAACGAAAAGATGCTTACCGACCACTATATCAAAGGCAGCTGGAACAGCAGGGATCATGTGAAATAACATCCCATCAACTATGGCCCCTGCTTTCTGAGCGTCTCCCTCTTCATAGGGACAGCTCTCCATAAGAAAATGGCTTCATAAGATCAGGCTGCAGGCAAGCCTGTAAGGGCATTTTCTTAATCGGTGACTGATGTGGGAGGGCTCAGCCCATTGAAGGTGTTGCCAACCCTGGGCAGGCAGTCCTAGGTTCTGGAAGAAAGCGGGCTGAACAAGCCACGTGGAGCAAGCCAGTAAGCAGCACCCCTCCTTGGCCTCTGCATCAGCTCTTGACTCCATGTACCTGTCCTGAATTCCTTTGACGGTGAACAGTGATGTGGAAGTGTAAGACAACTAAATCCTTTCCTCCCCAAGTGCTTTTTGGTGTTTTGAAGCAGCAGAAAGCCTAACTAGGCTGGAGAGAGGGCTCTGAGGTTAAGAGCACTGACTGCTCTTCCAGAGATCCTGAGTTCAATTCCCAGCAACCACATTGTGGCTCACAACGATCTGTAATGAGATCTGGCACCCTCTTCTGTGTTCATAATAAATAAATAAAATCAGCCGGGTGGTGGTGGTGCATGCCTTTAAACCCAGCACTGGGGAGGCAGAGCCAGGCAAATCTATGTGAGTTTGAGTCCAGCCTGGTCTACAAAGTGAGATTCAGGACAGGCTTCAAAGCTACACAGAGAAACCCTGTCTCGAAAAAAACAACAACAAAAAATTAATAAATAATAAATAAATAAAATAAAATCTTTTAAAAAAAAAAGAAAGAAAGAAAGAAAGCCTAACTAAGGGCTAGATGTTTCAACATTCCAGATTATTCATGCAAATGCCGGAAGTCCAAGAATCCACAGAGGGATAAAATCAAGCAGGAAGGGAATCCTACCTTTTTCACATTCACTGCCCAGACTGCATGCTGCTTTCAGTTCGATTCAGCTCAACAGCAATCATTGATTACAGCCGTCCTGAATTCCCCCCAATGGCTCCAAAGAGGCTACACCATCTAACAGAGCTGAAGCCACAAAGCCACAACCTTCCCCGTGGACTTGACCTCCCTGACTCAAGTTCAGTGTGACTCAGGCGGAGTCAGAGGTAGGGCGAGTTTTCAACCCTCGAGCTTGCTCTCCAAGCTGGGCTAGCATATCCAAGTAGCCTCACGGGCTACTCACAGATCTATACAGGCCCTCCAGGGTCAGGAGCAGTCAATGATCTCTCATGATCCGGTCATGCTGAGTTCTGCCCTCTGAGGCCACACTCGGGCAATGTCTAGCTATAGCTACTTCCACGAATTGCAAATTACAACCCCCCCATGCCTCCCCAATCTCCTGTACCCTACACCTGCTATTTGAAAGACTTAGTCCAGCATTTCTGCCCCTGCTTCTTTGGATCATACAGCATGTGTGTTTATGGAGGGTGATGCCATGCTTTCACAAGACAGCAGGAAGCCTACTGCTGAGAGATCCCCTCATGGCCTCCAGGAGGGAAAGACTCAAGCAGGCTGGACAGACTACAGACCCATGGCCAAAAAGATATGCCTGGGGGTCTATTAAAGTTCACTCGTCCACGAGTACCTGTATTTGGGGCTGGGTGTGGGACAATTTCCTGTCAAGTCCTGAATCATCCTACGAACCATACACTCAGAAGGTATGCTTTCTAGTGGAAAGAGGAACAAATAAAAATACTTGTTCCACCAAGTGATGGTAACACAAGGATGCAGTGAATCACCCCATGTATTAATGGGGTATCAAGAACAAAGGAGGAATGCCAGGTGGCGGC